TCCTCTTAAAAGAAAATCTGATTTTTTCGAGTGTTTTTTAAAGTTTCAAAAACAAATAGAAAATCACTTGGAAAGAAAGATTAAAATCTTTCAATGTGATGGTGGCGGTGAATTTGTTAATACAAACTTCTTAACACATCTAGAACATTGTGGCATCTCTAGACAAATTTCATGTCCTTATTCTCCTGAACAAAATGCAGTTGCCGAAAGAAAACATCGACACCTTGTCGATATTGTCCTCACTCTGATGTTTCATTCTTCAATTCCTTTAAAATTTTGGGTTGATGCTTTTCTAACTGCTGTCTATTTGATCAATAGGATGCCTTCTCGACTCTAACATGACAAGCCCATTTCAAAAGATGTTCAAGCGTTCTTCTAATTATAGTGGATTAAAGATCTTTGGTTGTTGGTGTTTTCCTTACCTTCGGGATTACACTAAAAGTAAATTTGATTGAAAAACTTATTCCTGCATTTTCATTGGTTATAGTCCTATACACAAATGCTACCGTTGTTTCGATCCTAAAACCAGCCGAGTTTATATTTTTCGTCATGTTATTTTTGATGAAATCGTGTTTCCTTTTGCTAACAATATTTCTTCTTCGTCAAGTATGCAGGAACCAAGCCAAATGGTGACATTTCCTAGTTTTGATGAGTGGTTTCAACCAAACTTAGACTCTTCTCAAAACAACAATAGTTCTCAACCTACAGGCCTTCCAAACCCCAACACTTTTGAGCACTAACTGTTGTTCTTTTTCTCCAAATTCTTCCAACACTTTTTCTCTATCACCCATAGAAATATCACCATCTCCCACAAAATCTCAAGAAGCTAAACCAAACATTGGTTCTCTAAATTCCGAAACCACTTCAGAATCTTTAAGACAAATAAATATAGGTTGTTCTTCTATTACTGAAAATCATCCGTATATCTCTAATCAATTGTTCATTGATCTTCCTTTTTCTTCTCATTCTCTATCATCATTGCCAACTTCCGAATCTACTACTACTGCACAGTCCAATATTTCTCATTCTCAAAATAATCATCCAATGATAACTCGTCAAAAACTTCGTACAAATCCTGCATTGAATCCTGAATTAACGTTAGTCACCACCAATTCTCCTCAAATTGAACCAAAAACCTAGAGGTGTCAATCCGGGTGGTCCGGGCCGGGTCGGCCCGCCAACATGTGAGCTCGGTAACGGCCCGCGTGAAAAAAAGCCCGCCCGCTGCGGGTTCCGGGTCGGCCCACAATTTTGGACTACAACCCAGGCCCACCCGCTGACCCATCCGGGTCGAGCCCATGCGGGTCACGGGTCGTGCGGGTCGCGGTTCGTTCCGGTTTGGCCCGTATGATTGTATAAATAAAATTATAAAAATATAGAATTTTTCCGATTTGGCCCATATGGAGAGCAACTATCATTGAAAATAGGATTTTGAGAAGAAGAATCGCGAGAATCCATAATATAGTAGGATTAAAAAATTTAGTAGTGACTAGTGAGAACCGAGAAGAAAGAAATATAATCAAGATGATGATGATATTTGCAATTGAATAATTGTAATTGTAGTAAGGTAGTAACAAGTATGAACTATGAAGTATAAATGTATAATAACTAATGAGAGGGTATTGTAAAAATAAATGTAAGAATAAATTGGAATTTATCGATGAAGGGGATGATATTACCGTTAGAAAATTTATATTACCATTAGTTAAAATTAAAAAAAAAAAATTGACCATGCAGCAGGCTACGCCTTTTTTTGAATTTTTTTTATTTTTATTTTTTCAAATTTTTTTGTTTGGCTCTCTCCCCCCTCTTTTTTTAATTTTGTTTTATTTTTTTTTTTAATTTTTTTTTACGGGTCGCGGGTTAACCGCGGCCCGTGGGGGTGCAACCCGCGAAGCCCGCGGGTTACACCTCCTTGGCCCGTGAACCGCCCGCACGGGTCACGGGTCGGCCCGCGGTCCCGGTTTTCACGGGCCGGTTTTCACGGGTCATGGCCGGCCCGTCCGTCTTGACACCTCTACAAAAACCCTTAAGGCAGCTCTCAAAAATCAATTTTGGGTCAATGCCATGAAAGAAGAGCTTCAAGCTCTTCATTACAACCAAACTTGAACATTTGTTCCTCGTCCCCATAACATAAATGTTGTTGCATCAAAATGGATTTATCGCATAAAACATAAAGAAGATGCGAGTGTTGACCGTTACAAAGCCCGCTTAGTTGCAAAAGGATTTACTCAAATTCCAGGTTTAGATTTTGATGAAACATTTAGTCCAGTGATTAAACCTACAACTATTCGCCTTTTTCTTTCTATTGCAGTTAGCTCAAATTGGGAGATGAGGCAATTGAACGTAAAAAATGCATTTCTTCATGGTCACCTCAAAGAAACTATATACATAGGACAACTGTCTGGTTTCATCGATCAAACTCTTTCGTATCATGTTTGTAAACTTCATCGCTCTATCTACGGGCCGGCTTAAACAAGTATCTCGTGCTTAATTTGACTGTCTTTCTCAATCTCTTTTTACTCTTGGATTTTAATGCAGTAAGGCTGACTCTTCACTATTTATCTTAAAAACTAATCACGAACTTATTATCATTCTAGTATATGTTGATGATGTGATTATTACATGATCAAATTCTTCTACAATTCATCAAATTATTCATATGCTTAGCTCAAAATTTTCTCTTAAAGATCTAAGTCGCCTCAATTATTTTTTAGGCATTGAAGTGAAATATTTTAATGGTGGCATTTTCTTATCGCAGACAAAATATACTAAGGATTTATTGGCAAAAGCTCATATGCAAAACTGCTCTCCTATTGCCACTCACATGGCTATCAAAGTAACACCAACACTTACTGATGATAATCTAGTTAATGCCACTGAATTTAGAGCTCTTGTTGGCAGTCTCCAGTACCTCACTTTCACTCGGCCTAACATCACGCATGCTGTGAATTGTGTTTGTCAGCACTTTCAAACACCAACCGCTGCTAATCTTCGTGATGTTAAATGTATCATTCGATATCTCCAAGGGACTGCACATATTGGTATTCGTTATCTTGCTCAAAGCTCTCCTATCTTATATGCCTTTTCAAACTCTGATCGGGCTAGTTGTCAACTCACTCGACGTAGCACAACTGGATATTGTGTTTATCAAGGGCCAAACTGCATTTCTTGGAGCTCAAAGAAACAAACTACTGTTGCTCGTTTTAGTGCCGAAGCCGAGTATCGATCCTTAGCTTCTACTGCAGCTGAACTTACTTGGATTTCTTTTTTACTTCGTGATGTAAGCATCTCTCTATCACGCACTCCTTTGATGTTGTGTGATAACAAAAGTGCTCTTCAAATGACTAAGAATTCTGTCGTTCATGCCCGTGCTAAGCATATTGAACTGGACTTTCATTTTATTCGAGAAAAAAATTTCTCAAGGTCTTCTCTTTACATGATATGTTTCTACAACTCGTCAAATTGCAGACATCTTCACCAAACCTTTTGCTTGAGCTTCATTCACTCAGTTTCATCAAAAGCTGGGCATACACTCCATGACCTCCACCAGCTTGAGGGGGGATGATAAGAATAATGACCAGAAATGCATTTCAAGGAATTAGTCAAACCTCTTTAATTGTCTTTATTCTTTGGCATCAATTACAATATTCTGCTCCTCTCAACGGCTAGAAGACAAGCTTGGCTGTTCATATTCCCAGCTTTCAATGTATAGTTAATTAATATTGTTTCACCTGCCCGGCTTGCTGTTTTTTCAATACCATATAGCTGCTACTTGCTTGTATAAATTCAGTAGATTCATAACAAAAGCAACAAGAGAGAAAATAATAATTTCTAGTTTTTTTTTTTTTTATTCTACTAACTTGACATGTTGGCCCAATTAATACACGCATGTAACAAACTCATTTTGAACTTATGTGGTGTCATTTCCAAGCCCTAACTTATGCAAATTTTCCATTGTAATTCTCGGAAAAATAGATAATCAGTCCCCCTCATTTTTATCAATTTTCATTTCTCGCTTTTCCTCAACAAATTTATTTGTGATCTCTTAGCGGTGTTTTTTGTTTTCGTTTCGAGTTCTTTTGGAAAAATATATTTGCTAATGTTTCTAAATAATTACTACTTTCTCGATTCAGATTATCACATTTTACCACAATGGTTGCTTCTGAGTTTGTTACGCTTGAAGTAGGAATACAAACAGGGTAAAAGTATTGATTTTAAGGACGTCAGTGGTTTTCCCTTTTGGTTGTAAATTTTGATTTGAACTGTACGTCATGCTTTCAGCACTATGGAACAGATTTAAACACTATATAAACATTATTTAGCCCACAAACGGATTAAAATCAAATTTTTAATAAATTTTGAAAAAATTGATGAAATGTGTGATTGAAAAGTTATGCTCTTATGAAATACGTGGTTAAAATTAATTGTTAATTTTGACTTAAATTAAAATTTAGATTTACATTTTAATGTATACCACACGGGATTAGAATTACTACCGTCGATGTAGAATACATGTTTGCTTAGGATAATCTAAAATATTAAACAGTACTTATGTGGTCAAATTTGACTAGAAAATGCGAATTACCTAGGATGAAACTCAAGCATGACAAAAAAAAAAAAAAACTTAACCCCTGTTTTGGTATAGATTAAAATTCGATTTTAATTTAAATTCAATAATTAATTTTAATCACTCATTTAATGTGATCCACAATTTTTAAATAACATATTTTATCAATTTTTATCAAAATCTACTAAAAATTTGATTTCAATTTACATGAGTTTAAAAGGCAAAAGGAAATGTCCAACGAAAGACGAAATATTGAGCAGTCAACACATACATTAAGAAAGCAGATGCAAGTCTTTAACAAGAGAAGAAGCAATTCATGATAATAATATTGTATTTCTCGAACTTGTGCTCGTTATTAACAGAACTATTAACTTTATTTATAGAGCACGTTGGATTGCCAAAATCCATCCACTAATCAGCATTATCTATATTAATATTTTCTCCATTCTACGTTTGAGCAGTTTTGCCGAAGAGGCTCTATTAAACAAGACAAGACTTGATCTCTCGTGTCTCCATCTTGAACGCTGAATCCGTCTCCGTTCTGGTAAATGAAATTAGCCACTCGCGCTATATTTATAATATACTTAACAAGTGTTTGCAGCAAATTAGGAGAACTATTTATGCATAGGCCATTGATTTTCTTCCATAAATTGGCAATGATGTTCCTGATATGGTCCCGAGCTTCCTCTTCTGTAACATTTGCTTCTCTCATGTAACATAGGATTGATGAAGGTGCATCACCTCTCTCCAGTTCGGCCTATTAAATAAAAATCAAAATACCATTCATTACAAAATAGTCGTATTTTCAATAACAAAATTACTTATCCAGTTAAGCTGAAATGCTTACAGCTGAAGTTCCTTGATCATTGCAGAGACGTATTATCAACGAGGAGTAGTAGATAATTTCTTGATTGTTCTCGAGGATTTCAATGGTTTCGGTTATATCTTGACTTACACCAAAGAGTACAACAAGAGAAAGCAAAGGGCCAGATGATGATATCCAACCATTATCAAGATACTCCCACAGACGTGGGGTATAACCTGTGTGGTACCACTTTGCTTCCACATGCAATGCTTGACAGAAATCTGCCCACTGATGACAAATGTAAATCTGATTAGGCAATTATGTTAATCAAAGTTGTATCATATAAGAATAATAAATCGCTATGTACCCCTTTCTTTAAATATGATAACACTGAATTACAGCCCTTTTCTTGTTGAATTTGCAGATCCATATCATTGGTTGTATCATATAGTGCACAGAAGCATCTCCTTATGGCTTCTGGCAGCTGCTGAATTTCTGTGTGATTCCACCTGAAACGAGGACGTGAATCACTATAAAAATGCGTGTTGTGCTCTTTTTTGTTTACTGTTGTTTTTAGCAGTAGGAATTAGGGTTTAATCTAAAATAACATTACCTATCAACAGCATGGGTAAAGCACTCCAATTCTTCTGTCGAACCGTAAATGTCATAGACATCATCGATTATCAAGACGAACATGATGATTTTAGTCAGCCATTTTCGAAGGCTTTCATGCTGAGGCTCAGAAACAACTCCCACTGCCCACAAAAAACTTTCAACTACTCGATCTCTTGTGAAGATTAAAGTTTCTGAAAGGTCAAGATTTCTCCACCACCTAACAAAAATTACAAAGGGGTAAATAAATTTAAATTTATTTGTACATTGAAATTGAAGAATTGCATGTGGGTCAAAAAGTTAGGTAACATATCCATTTATTCATCACAAGAGTGGTCCTTTTTTAACCTAAAATTTATTTTCCTTGATACCTAACATAATACGTGAAATGACTCTATACTTCGGCAACTCCATTGTTTGTAATGGATTTAGTATCCACTTATAAAATTCTTAAAAAAAGAAAAAGAAGGATGAATCAAAATACAGCTGTTACACCAATCAAACATGCTATCCACTTATCCTCCAATACGACCGATCCACCTAATTGTCATATTAGTTTCTTAATATCTATAAAGGTTTTAAGGAGGCTTTTTAGCATAAGATAGACTAAGTTCTCGTTTGTCTCCCTTTAAGACAAACTCTTTAATTCTCATATTCATATTCGATCACACATTCATACAATAAAATATTTACACATAAATCCAAAATGTTTTCATATTTTTTATGAAAAATTGCAGCCACGGTACCAAATATTTCACTTTTTTGCAGACTTTGCCCAAACCTTTCGTTTGTGACACACGGGGTACCAAAACAATTCGTACTCGGAGTTCAAATTGACAGAAACCGTTAGTTTGACCGCGAGTTGACAAATAATTAAATATTTGACCAATTTAATTCTTTTATTTTAATTTTTTTCATATGAAAAATGTAAAATTATATATATATAATGATATTTGTACCTATTTATAAAATATTTACACATAAATCTAAAAAAATTTCATATTTTTTAACCACTTGTTCTTAAAAGAATCATTATTTAAAATATTATTTTTCTCAATAAATAACCATCATACAGGGGCTAAAAGGCATTGGATCACTAGTAATTTTCTTCTCTCTTCTTCATAGTGAAGTGGACTCAACTAGTCAAGAGGCATCATTATAAGCCCCTGTTTGTTGGGATTAAAATCAGATTTTTATCATAGTTTGATAAGAGTTGATGAAATGTGTAGTTGAAAAGTTGCGAATCCCATTAAATATGCGGTTAAAATTTATTGTTGACTTTGATTTAGATTAAAATTTAAATTTTAATCAGTACCAAATTGGGTGTAAATCTTTGTGACCACCTATGAGTGCACATTGGACTAAAGATTTTACCTTAAAATCTCCTTGAGGTCCTTTTGTTGTTGGGCTTGACCCATGTTAAAGTTAAGTCTACCCAGCTGAAGCAACATAGAGCTAGTCTTGTTCTCTTTCTCGTGTGCCTGGATATGTTTCTTGACATTAAACCATTCGACACTCAAATGCAAAGGACAAACCAATGAAAATATTTCATGATTTGCTCTCAAATTCTCTATGGCAAAAACTTGGGCTGTATCCAACAGGCATTCACTTTCCATGCCAAGATAAGAGGCTTCCAAAAGTTGAAGAATTGATTTGGCATCCAAATGTGCACTTGTCTTGAATTCTCCCACGTCATCAGTGAAGCAAAGGAACACGTCTAAGTTTCACAGAATAATCCCAAGTTAGAGAGCAAATATTCGGGAAAATAAGGTTTCCTCTTTTTGCCAATTATAAGAGATAACTTATTTATTAATTTATGGAGGTTTGTCCCGTTGTGTTTAGAAAAATATTAGTTTTTTAATATTTTGATAGAGTTGATTATATGTGTATTTTAAGAGTTACAGTATCTCCATAAAACTCTTTAAACATGAGATACTCTATATTTTAAAGAATCAACTTTTAAAATCATACTTCAAAATACTCATTAAATTGACATTTTAATTTAAAGAGCGAGTTTGACTCGATGGATTGAATTTTTTTATCAGTAGCTCGATGCATGGAAAATTCGGCTAGACTATTAGAAAAATGAAAAATAAAAATAAAAATATTTATGATCTAAAAAACTAGTTACTAGTGACTTCAAATTAAAAGAGGAGAATTCTCACCTTGTGAAATCTTATATCCATACTGCCTAAGAATTCTAAAGTATAATGCAGTGTGGTAGAGGTTCTTCTCCATGCAAGAACCAAAGTTGTTCATATTGACCATCGTGTTTAGGGTTTCATGGATATCTTTTTCAAAGTAGTGAGAAAGCGCTAACTTGCTAATGCAATCTATAAACTCTAACTTAGCCACTGGATCCTTCACATCATCGAACATGCACGAGACTTCCCTTTTCAATGTTTCCACTTGTCTTCTGTATTCCTCTTCCTGTAAAAAAGGAGCCAAAACTTAGCACAATTAACTACGATTCCACAATCATTTTACTATGAAACAACATTCAACATATAACTGGGCTACTCCTGAATCATCCCGTTCGGTTTATTTATTTGTGCGGTTTACTTTAAAGAAAAAAGAAGAGAAATAACAGGAAATTAATCTCACATCATATTTGTTTGTTAGAGACTGTAGGAGAGAGTAATTCCAGATGTTTGGCTTATAATTTGCAGTTCGCCTTTCGATGGACTCTATCTTCATTTGGCTGTTCAAAAATTGTTGATCGCCTGATATTTCCATTGTGGAATTCCTGATATTAATAAATAACAGAAAGAAGTAGTTTTGAGGATGCAGTAACATGGAGTTCATATTACTATATATAGCGAAAATATCTCCAGCAAGTGATGGTAACAAATCATTAAGACTGGTTTGATCTGCAAACTATTGATAGTGATTTCCTTAGTTTTTGTTTATATCAATTATCAACCAGGGACAGTTTTGCAATGTTTGGTGCACCTAATATCGATTTGTTCACAGTTGTATGACATGGTCCACACTGTACGTAAGATGGTATATTAGAATCTTACATTGGCCGGTGATATTTACACGATCCACTTAATAAGGTGAGAACAATCCTCCTCTAATAAGTCGATTTTGTTAGGTTGAGTTAGACTCAATATCATTTCTAATAAGATTGATTCAATTTTAACGGTTAAGTCATTCCATTGAAGTTGCGATAGTTTCCATCGGGATGACACACATTTATGTACGTTACGTTTCAAGTCACAAAACTTGTAATTTTGCTTGTATTGATCGCTATGATTAATGAATCAAAAAAAAAAAAACTTGAACAACTTGTTCAAATAAGCCACTCAAGCTTAATTTTGACCAAATACAGAGTTTCCATAGTGCTTGTTTGGTTAAATTTTTAAGTACTTATAAGCAATGAATCCCAATAATATGTCGGTAAAAAGTTAATGAAAGTTTTGGATCCCAAAAAATATATTATTAAAAATGATATTTAATTAGCTTATAAGTACTTCAAAGGTTTGCCAAACATGACTTTTCTCTCTGGTTCAAATTCATAAGTTAGTACACGGAGAAAAGTCGTGATGAGTTCCACGCAAACCGAAAAAGTAAACATATTTCCTGCCGAGAAAAGTCAAGCACGTGTTCCACGCAAACCGGAAAATAAAAATTATGTGGAAAGCATGTTGCGGACTTTAACACATGATTTTGCCCCGACTAATTCTGAATAGTGGGGACCTTTCCCCTGGTTCACTACTCTGGTACATCAGATGTGATCACATATTTAGAGACTAGACATTCGAAAAATGATTCTACTCCTTGTAGACCCCCCTTTACAACGTGTGGACAGAACCACTCAAGGGGTAATAGAACGTATCATAAAAACATAATACAATAAAATTTAATGTAAATTTTTCTATCCGAGGGAGTACAAAAAAATCTCACCATACTTATCGTATCCCATTTTGTGTTGCTCACACTTCGAAAACACATATCTTCTCTTATCGCCTACAATGAAAAGTAAAGGAATTGAGTTCAAAAGTTAAAAAATGAATTAGTTAAACATTTGACAAGGTACGTAAAGGAATTGAGTTCAAAAGTTCCATCACTTATTTATGAAAACTTGACTTAATATAAAACATTGAATCTTGCTCATAGAAGTCTAATTCATTAGTTAAAGACAAATTTCTCTTTATAACATGGCTCCAGTAAAAGCCAAAATAAACTGCAATAATGTCGTCTTAGTTAAAGACAAATTTCTCTTTATAACATGGCTCCAGTAAACTGCAATAATGTCGTCGAAGAATCAATTCCAGAAGGGCCCGCTATGTTAATAGTCTACGTAAGACAAATAAACTGCAATAATGTCGTCGAAGAATCAATTCCAGAAGGGCCCGCTATGTTAATAGTCTACGTAAGACAAATACTTACGTCATCTATTGACGTGATAAACGAATACTTGCATGACTTGTCATCTATTAATTAACGTGATAAATGATGCTTCAAAAAGAGCCGAACATGTCCAAGAGCTGGGAGCAACTAACAAGTAGTCCCAAGTTTGGATACAATTTCTCATGTACCTTTCTGGCATTTTACAAGGCATACTAGCAATGGTGGACGCAAGAGAGCACGGGCAGTCGCTAGAAGACCGCTCGAGCAGCCATCGAACGGTCGCCTAATATAATGAAAAATGAACTTTTTTGATAGAGCTAGCATGAGCGGCCGCGGGCGCTTGCCAGGCTGGTTCCGCTCTCACATAGTAGCTCTTTTAGTTAAAGCAGACATATATTTGGTCATAAATTACGAAATACAAAGTTGAGTATTTGTGACAAATATCGTCGCAAATGAACCATTTAATTATTGACGATTTCTTTTTCAATAACTAAAACAATATATATTATGTTCACTATATTTTTTAGTATTATCTTGAGGGAAACAAGCTCAATGACAAGGCCTTTTTCCATGATCCGATAGGATAGTTTTTGATTGACCGTTTTTATTTAAAGGATGTTTGATGGGGATTAAAATTAGATTTTTAGTGAATTGTAATGGAAATTTTTGAAATGCGTGTTTGAAAAGATGTGGGATCCATAAAAGATGGGGTTAATATCAATTGTTTGACTTTGACTTAGATTAAAATCAGATTTTAATCCGGCCCAAATAGACCCTTAATTTTTTTTTAATTGACAATGAAAATTTGCCCAAGTGTATGTGTGTCAAAAATCCTGTCATTGACCCTGGAATGCTAATGTTTATTAAGGTCATGACTCCAACCTTGTAGACAAATCACTCAAAACTTCTTCTGAAAAATCATTTAGTTTGAAAAGTCAAACGATTATACTCTAGCCTATATTAAGTTTCACTGACTAATCCAATAAGTTAGGAAACATGATTATTCAACTTCGAATGTTTGTTTGGCAATAATTTAATGCTGGTTTGGATTAATTTAAATATGACTTAAATCCATCAATGACCACCTAACTTTATACTTAGTCCTAATTAATTTTGTTTCATCTTGTCATCCAACTTTATATTTATTGTTACCATGACTACCAATTTAATTTTATTTCATTATGATCACCCAACTTCTTTTAATACTTTTCACTAATTTTAAAAGGGGTAAAATGGTAAATTTGCATCGTATATATAAAATTAATTTTAAAAAACAAAATAAAAGTTTTTTTTTATTTTTAAAAAAAAATTTTAAATAAGTTTTTTTTAGGGACGTTTTTCTTAAAATAACTTTTAATTTAATTTAATTTTTTAAGTATCATTTTTTAAATTATTTTATTTTATTTTATTTTTGAAGTAACTGTTTTTAAATAAATTTTTATTTTTTAAAATTTATTTTATATATAATACAAAGTTACCATTTTACCCCTTTTAAATTAGTGAGAAAGTAAAAATAAGTTGGGTGGCCATGGTGAAACGTTAGATGAAATTGGATGATCATGATAAAATAAAATCAAATTGAGTGGCTATGGTGACACTAAATATAAAGTTGAGTGACTATGATAAAATAAAATCAAATTTGGTGGTCATGATGACACTAAATATAAAGTTGGGTGACTATTGGTGTATCAAATTAGGTGACCAATAAACATTATTTCGAATTATTACCGGCTATGTAGCATATGTGTTAATTTGCTCAATAACATTTATACAGCTTTATTCTTACATTGTTCAAAATGTGGTGGGCGAGAAATTAGTTTTTTTAAAAAAAAAAAAAAATGTCCAATGATGTGTTGCTACGTTACTTAATGTAAAAGAAGATGTCAAAAATAATGTACATGTGGTCAAATATGTCTAGAAAGTGCATTCATACCCAGGATGAAACTCCAACGCGACAGGAAAAAAAAAAGGGGGAAGACGGAAATGAAATGTCTGACGAAATGTCGAGATATTGGCTCAGGTCCACACATAAATTAAGTTTGAGTAGTTTTGCCAACTCAAAGTAGAGGAAAAGGCTTTATTAAACAAGACAAGACTTGATCTCTCGTGTCTCCATCTTGAACACTGAATCCGTCTCCATTCTGGTAAATGAAATTAGCCACTCGCGCTATATTTATAACATACTTAACCAGTGTTTGCAGCAAATTAGGAGAACCATACAGGCATATGCCATTGATTTTCTTCCATAAATTGGCAATGATGTTTCTGATATGGTCTCTAGCTTCCTCTTCTGTAACATTTGCTTCTCTCATGTAACATAGGATTGATGAAGGTGCATCACCTCTCTCCAGTTCGGCCTATTAAATAAAAATCAAAATACAATTCATTACAAAATAATCGTATTTTCAACAATAAAATCACTTATCCAGTTAAGCTGAAATGATTACAGCTGAAGTTCCTTGATCATTGCAGAGACGTATTATCAACGAGGAGTAGTAGATAATTTCTTGATTGTTCTCGAGGATTTCAATGGTTTCGGTTATATCTTGACCTACACCAAAGAGTACAACAAGAGAAATAAGTTTGGTTGGGTTGGTAGTTTAGTTAATAGATGGATTTGGTTATTAGCCCATTAACTTGGCCCATTATGAGTGAGTCTTGGCCCATAGGAGTGATCTAAACCTAACCCTTTTATATGGTAGAAACTCAACCATTCTGTGTGTGCTACAAGTGAAGAGAAAATGTGAGAAAGGGGGCAGCCGGGTTTGGGGGGAATTGGAGAGATTCCAACATTATTGTTCACCTTGTTTCTTCTCCATTATAGTCACCACATAATGTCCTTTGTGAGTACTAAAGAGAGAGCAACCGAAGAGGACAGAAAGAGGCAACTAATATGTAGAGGGTTGTTAGGTCGAGCCTTTTGGTAGATTTGTGTTCATTTGGTTGTTTTCTGAGCCCGAAAATTGGTTATTGGAGCCCCAAAATCTTACACAAGTGTTACTTAATTACACCAAGTGGGGACTTAAGAAAATCAGTAAGACAATCAGCAACTTATGTTTCTTGATTTATAGATGAGTTAATTCGAGTGTCTTTTGGTGTTCACAGACTTTCCCCACTTTAAAAGACCTTCCGGCTATTCGAAATAAAAGTTTGCTTCATTACAACATAAGTCGAATTATGAAATAAAATTGAGCGTTCTCTTAAAATTGTTATCTCGTCTCTTAAGAGGGTTTTTCAATCTCCACTTTCCAAAAAAACTAGTATCAAAGCGAGGTTATAGACACGTGAGAAGAAGAAATAGCAAACAACTCTCTTCCCGTTCCACAACTCTAGATAACTATATATGGAACATGGTGGATTTGAATAAAGGTAATCCTTAAAGTCAAGATTCACACGACTTACGAGGAGAGGTCATGAACTTCAAAGTGAAGAAGGTATGTTTCAAGCCCGAAGAGACATGCAACAACTAACAATAATAATCAAAAGGCTCTTAGTATAACTTCACTGAGATCACGTGATACAATTTTTTAGAAAGTTTCAAATGCTATTACTGCACATCAAGCAGACGAGATCTTTGAAAACGCCTCAAAGGTGCGAACAAAGTCAAAAAGACGTCTCCAATCTTTGAAAGAAGAATACGAGGCACTTTTGGGGAAGGAATTTGAATCATATTTAGATTATTTCTCTTGATCACGGGTGGTCGTCAATTAGATAAAGAGATATGGAGGAGTACACGACCAAGTGATTGGAAAAATTCTTGGATGTTTACGTGAAACATTCAATTTGTTGTAGTAACAATTGATGAATAAGATTATCTAGAGGAAATAACTATTGATTAAGTTGTGGTAATCTTACAAGCTCACAAGGAGAAATTGTTGAAGAAAAGCAAGAACTCGTAAAACAATTCTTACAACTAAGTCTTTCTCTGAATGACAAGGAAGAAATAAATAATAGGATCCAAAGAGGTCAAGCATGTGAAAGAGATCAAGGAAGAGGAAATATAAATTTTCCATTTATTCATCAAAAGAGGTGTCCTTTTTTATGCCAGAATCGATTTCCTTGATACCAAATATATTGCACGTAATGACCCAATATATCGGCAACTCCCATCATATTAAATGGATATAGTATCCAATTATTAAATCTTTGTGAAAAAAAAACAAAAAAAAGGATGAATCAAAATACAATTGTTACACCAAAACAAACATGTTATACACTTTTCTCTCCATGGCTAATCCACCTAATATTTATATTAGGCGTCCTAATGTTCATTCGATCTGTAAAGCTGGTTTTTAGGGGCCTATTTAGCGTAAGAGAGACAAAAAGGCATTGGATCACTAGTGTAATTTTCTTATTCTTCTTCAAAGTGAAGTGGACATAACTCTTGCATGGAGAGACATCATAATTAATATAAATCTATTTCTATTAATTGGGATCTATAACATACATGGGACGCAGCCGGTTTTTCTTGCTTACTGTGGTCCATGTTTTGCGGGGGAAAAAAAAAAAGAAGAATTTTGTAACCACTATTTGCTTGACACAGAAAATTAACTAAAGATTTTACCTTAAAATCTCCTTGAGAGCCTTCTGTTGTTGGGCTTGAGTCGTGTTGAAGTTAAGTTTACCCAGCTGGAGCAACATAGACTTAGTCTTTTTCTCTTTTTCTTGTGCGAGGATATGTTTCTTGACATTAAACCACCCGACACTCAAATGTAATGGACAAACCAGTGAAAATATTTCATGATTATTTGCTCTCAAATTTTCAGTGGCAAAAACTTGGGCTCTATCCAACAAACGTTCACTTTCCATGCTAAGATAAGAGGCTTCCAAAAGTTGAAGAATTGGTTTAGCATCCAAATGTGAACTTGTCTTGAATTCTCCCACATCATCAGTGAAACAAAGGAACACGTCTGAGTTTCACAGAATATTCCCATGTTAGAAAGCAGACAATAGGTTTCCATCTTTTTGACAATTGAAAAATAACGTATTTATCAAAGTAACCAATCAGAACATTTGGAAATCCCTACTCACAATTTCACATCCATGCAAATATATAGTTCTCTTCCTTAACTAGTCGCTTTCTACTTCATGCAAAACGAAGTAAAACAAAATAGAAACTAGAAATATTATTGAAATTTCCTATTTTGCGAGGTGACTCCTCTTCTGTTTGCTGGTGAACTTGTGCGTGTATAAGGATTATCTTCAACCACGTCCTAGAAAATGTATATACTAATGTTTTTGAGTCATATCTTAAACGTCCTGTGCGTGACTTCGGGTTCATTTTCTTTATCAATAGCTCGATACATGGAACTTTTGCAACACTCGAACTCAAGATCTATATTTGATAGAAATAACATATTGGACTACATCTTCTCGAAACATAAACTAGAATATTAGAAAAATGAAAAACTTATTTATGATCTAAACATCATCATAGTTACTAGTGAGTTGAAAAAGAGTAGAATCCTCACCTTGTGAAATCTCATAGCCATACTGCCTAAGAATTCGAAAGTATAAGGCAGTGCCGTAGAGGTTCTTTTCCATTAAAGAACCAAAGTTCATATTCACCATCGTGTTTAGGGTTTCATAGATATCTTTTTCAAAGTAGTGAGAAAGAGCTAAATTGCTAATACAATCTATAAGCTCTAACTTTGCCACTGGATCATTCACTTCTTCAAACATGCACGAGACTTCCCTTTTCAACGTTTCCACTTGTCTTCTGTATTTCTCGTCCTGTGAAAGAGGACCCAAAACTTAGCATATTAACTACGACAATCATTACTTAACAAAAGTAGAGTTTTGAATAGTGATTTTTAGGAAAATGTGTGGTTAAAAGTAGAGAAAAATTTTGTATTTACGAGCAGAATATTGTATTTTGTGATTCTATGGTTGAAAATGAGTATGCAATTGGGCTACTCAAAAGTCCGCATTACATTTATTTGACCGGCTTACTTTAAAGAAAAAAGAAAAGAAATAACAAGAAATCTCACATCATATTGGTTTGCTAGAGACTGTAGTAGACCGTAATTCCAGATGTTTGGCTTGTAATTAGCAGTTCGCCTTTCGACGGACTCTATCTTCATTTGGCTGTTCAAAGATTGTTGATCACCTGATTTTTCCATTGTGGAATTCCTGATGTAATAAACAACAGATAGGAGTAGTTTTGAAGATGCCTTAACATCGAGTTTATATTACTTTATATAGGGAGAGACGTGGAGATATGAATAGCAAGTGATAGTGACAAATCATTCAGGCTCTTTTGACCTTTACGGACTAATGATCTGCACTCTATTGATAGTGAGTAAGGGTGGGCGTGGATTGGGTCGATTTTTATCTCAACTCAAACTCAATCTAACATGATTGGTTCGATCATAATTTAACCCAATCCTACCCAGTCAAGTATCGATCGGGTTGGGTTGAGTTGATCGATTTGGGCAACTAATCAATAAAAACTAAAGTAGGCGAATCGGATTGGGCGGATTATAATTGACTCATGACTTATATAACAAAAAATCTGAATTATTTTGCAACTTCATGCCTTGAAATGTTACATGGACGTACGGATTGATATTAAATTATATGAAGCTAAGAAATGTTTTTGGCAATTAAAATATTTTTGTGTTGAATGTGTATTTACTTATACTATTTTTCGTAAAATGCATTCAATCCAAATCTTATAATATTATTCTAAGAGTTTTCATGCAATATCATAACACTCGTAAAATTCATAAATATAGTCGGGGTTGGGTTGAACGGGTTTATTTGGTTTCCATAAGTTAACTCATAATCCGACCCAACCCAACCCAATAATATTATTCTAAGAGTTTTCATGCAATATCATAACACTCGTAAAATTCATAAATATAGTCGGGGTTGGATTGAACGGGTTTATTTGGTTTCCATGAGTTAACTCATAATCCGACCCAACCCAACCCACTACATAACCAATTCACCTAACCCGTGTAAAAACAACAAAAAAATCGACCCAAACTGGTCAGATGGGCTAGATTTGGGCAGTTTTGGCGGGTTTGGGTTTTGCCCACCACAGGGACGGATTTAGGGGAGCCCCACCACCCCCCAAACTATTTTTTTTTTTAGTTAGAAAAAAAAATTATNCAAAACGAGCCTACATCCAAACTTTTGCCTGTTGCCTTTGTTGTTTGAAAATTGTGGGCAGGAAAACTGTTTTTGTTTTTAAATTGTCCAATCGTATTTTGTCACATGGCAAAATGTAAAGAAAAATGTAAAAAATGATGTACATGTATGTAACATGATTGAGCCCGTGCCGTGTTGATGTAATACCCACCCAAGCTGGACAGATTTTTTAGCAGTTCATTTGTAAATCAGTCTAATTACATAATTGGGTCCAATCCAATTTTAATAACTATAGAAATTAGTGTTCAGTTCAATTTCTAACGACCGAGTCAGTCTAAACTGAAGTTTCACTAGTTTTGGGCGATGGTTGCCGTGGGATCAGATTGACAAGTTATCTATGATCTGGAGAGAAAAGTCATGAAAGTGTTCCACGAAAACCTGAGTGTAACACGTTTAATCAATGTGAGAAGAAGAATAGGTGAAAATCATGTATGGCAGTCTTGAGAACAGGTGTAACCCGTGAAAGAATTTGTATTGAAAAGAAATGACAGGGATTTATTCGTCGATTTAGTGCTATGGATGTGGACATATTTTTTCTTATTCGAATGGAATAGACTCAAATACATTATGAGGCTGACAGCTGAAATTTCTTCCTCTTAAAGACTCCAAAATTTCATATTGCTATCACCTCAGAATCATGCTGCCTGTAAATGTAAAATTTGCAGTCTCAATATGGTGAGTACAATGAAAAGTGTTAATTAGTGTAGAACAGATGTTGTGCCATACATGACGGGTGAAACAAACAAATAGCCTTTTTTCATATTGAGAGAGAAGGGAAATTAGTGCTTTGTTGTACATTCTGCTCAAGTGTTAATTAGTGTAGAACAGATGTTGTAACCAATGATTTTTATTAGCTTGTGCAAATCTACTCTTAGATAATTTTCATTCACTAAGGCCACTCGCAGTCTATTGTTGTCGGTGGCTGTGTTTGGCCTTTTAGGTTTTTTAGGAAAAGACAAGGAAATTAGGAATATTGTTGGAATTCTAAAATAATGTAAAGAAACGTTACAATAAATTGAGGAACAATAAAATAAAGGAAATCTGGTTGTCGATTTAGTAGCGGTATTGGAAGGAATGAAGGTTTTGTTGCACACGGTTTTCTTAAAATATATTCGCTTCCACTGTGGTGCAAGAGACGACAAATGGCTTCTGTGATAGAACAAGCAAATTATCTAGACTATTAACAACAAGATTCTTGATAAGGTTATAAACAACGGGAAAGTTTAGATTATTTTGATACCTATTCTCTTGTAATGACAATAAATTCCATAAGGATGGTACTAAAAATTGCTGCCATGTGAGATTTTGTTGAAGAAATCTGCATGGAACAAGTTGAGGCTTTTACTGCACCTGGACACGGAGAGAAAATCCGTGTATAGTTTAAAACAAACACCAAAACAATGAAATGAAAAAAAAAATCGACAGTGCTATGATACCAATTGATTTAAAATCAACGAGTGTGATAAATGTATTTATAAAATGGATATGTTATTCTGTGTCTTTATGTTCATGACATGCTCAATTATGTCATTGTTGTTAATTTCATTCATGTGGAAAATTGTTGCGAAAAAAATTAAAATATAAAATATTGTGAATGAAGAATTGTAACAATAAGCTTTTGATTTCAAATTTCAATTATCTCTCATTCCAGTACTATATAAGTAATTGTTAGTTACAAAGTCTTGATGACTATTGTAACATATTGTTCTAATTGCTATTATAATGACTATTGTAACATATTGGGTTTAACACAACATTAATAAGAATTCAAATCTCCCACATTCTAGTACTATATGAGGAAGTGTTCTCCTTCCTATTCTACACACCAAAACTTTAGGAGCTCTATCCTCTCTTTAATATTCTTTCTTCTCTCTTTGCTTTCAAGAGTTTTTTTTCCTTTGTAGTTTAGATAATTATTTTGTAGCTCGGTAATAGAATTGTGATTATTTTCAGTTTGTCTAAAGTAGTGAAGAGAAGTTAGTCAACTACTTTTAATGACTCTATCCTGAGAGGTAGAAGTCATTAGTCCCCTTGCACCACAATGGGTGTTGAATCTATTTTAAGGAAACTATGTGCAACACGGGTCTCGATTCCTTTCAATGCCGATACTATATCAACAATCAAATTTTCTGTCTTCATTGTTCCTCTATTTATTGTAACATTTCTTTCCATTATTTTAGAATTCTAGCAATATTCTTGATTTCCTTTTGTATTTTCCTAACAAGGTTAACGTTTCTTTCCATTATTTTAGAATTCTAGCGGTGTACCTAATTTCCTTTTGTATTTTCCTAACAAGTTTCACCCAAATCAATTGTGGAACTTTCAAGCCAGGAGTATGGTAGACTGTGAAATGTGTTGGATGAGAAAAATTACTAAAGCAAAAAAGCATGTCAACCAGGTTACACTAACTCTAAAGATGACAATTAAATGTGTGTTTGATGGATATTATTGAAGAAATATTGTATTTTAAATAGTGATATGATGAGAAATATGTAGTTAAAAAGTAAGGAAAATTTATTGATGCGATGAAAAATATTATTTTATTGAAAAATGTGTGGTTGAAAATGAGTTTTGAAATAATACATTATGAAAAAATGTTTGTCAAACAGGAGCTAAAACATAAAAGAGGGAACAAAAACTTAAAAGAGGGAACACTACCCCGACAGTTCTAGTTCATGTGTGGTTGTTAGTTTAGAACAACAAACACACATCAATAACTTCAATTTATCAAGTTCATAATATCCACCAGATTGTGTGAACCATAATTTTCTGTGACTGACGTTCTTTCCTATTGTTTCTAACCAAGTTTGATTCTTAGTCGTGTCAGGTGTGTCGCTATGGGTGTAAGGTGCCCTCGTGAAAACGATTTGATGTTCTTCTCGTCCATTTGTTCAATTACAGAGACAATTTCATTTTGTCTAACCAGCTTTGTCATTCAACGAGTGGCCAATAATCTAGCAAGAAGAGATTGAGATTCCTCTTTTGTATGGTTTTGTAAATTTCTCAACGTTTGAACAGATGGAAAATATGGTACAGACGCTGCAATAATATTCTTTGGCTAACTTCTCTATAGTCAATTGTGAATAAGAACCCCTATACGCATAGAATTTCGGGAATTTAATTATATTCTTCACTTATCGTTCATGTATGGTCAATTCACCTAATTTTCATATCTGGCGTTTCTTATGATCTATAAAGGTTTTTAGGAGGCTATTTAGCATATGATAGACTAAGCCCTTATTTGTCTCCCTTTAAAATGAAACTCTTTAATTTTCATATTCATTTTCAACCCCACGTTTACGTAATAAAATATTTACACTCGAATCCAAAAAATTTCTCTATTTTTTAACCACATATTTTTTTTAAAAAAAAATCACTAATCAAAATATCATTTTTTTTTCCTCAATACTGACCATCAAACGGGGGCTAAAAGGCATTGGATCACTACTATAATTTTCTTCTTTCTTCTCCAAAGTGTAGTGGACTTAACTCTTACATCGTGGGGGCATCATTATAAAACTGTCTATTAATTGAGATCGCACTGAATCTATAACATGGGCTACAGCCATTTTCTATTGCTTTCTGTGGTCCTCGTTTCGGGGAAAAAAATCTTTTTTATGACCGCCTATAAGTTTGACGCATAAATTTGACTAAAGATTTTACCTTAAAATCTCCTTAAGATCCTTTTGCTGTTGGGCTTGAGCCATGTTGAAGTTAAGTCTACCCAGCAGAAGCAACACGGTCCTAGTCTTGTTCTCTTTCTCATATACGTGGATATGTTTCTTGACATTAAACCATTCGACACTCAAATGCAACGGACAAGCCAGTGAAAATATTCCACGATTTGCCCTCAAATTCTCTATGGCAAAAACTTGGGATGTATCCAACAAGCATTCATTTTCCATGCCAAGATAAGAGGTTTCCCAAAGTTGAAGAACTAATTTGGCATCCAAACGTGCACTTGTCTTGAATTCTCCCACGTCATCGGTGAAGCAAAGGAACACGTCTGAGTTTCACAGAATATTCCCAAGTTAGGGAGCATAATATTCGAGGAAAATAAGGTTTCTTTTTGCCAATTAAAAGATAACATATTTATTAATTTATGGAGGTGTTCAAAGAGTTATGCATATCAAGAAATGCGCCGTAAAAAATAATTATTGATTTTAACTAAGATTTTACTCAATTTTTTTAGCTGAACTAAACAGGGCTTAAAGTAACCAATCAGAACTATTGGAAGTCCCCTTGCAGCAGTCACTATTCACAATTTTACATGCATGAAAAGAGTTCTCTTCCTTGACGATCAGCTTTCTACTTGATGCAAAACTAATTAAAACAAAATAGGTTCTCTTCCATGCAAGAACCAAAGTTGTTCATATTGACGACCATCGTGTTTAGGGTTTCATAGATATCTTTTTCAAAGTAGTGAGAAAGAACTAACTTGCTAATGCAATCTATAAGCTCTAACTTAGCCAATGGTTCCTTCACTTCATCGATTATGCACGAGACCTCCCTTTTCAATGTTTCCACTAGTCTTCTGTATTCCTCTTCCTGTAAAAAAGGACCCAAAACTTAGCACAATTAACTAATTACAACTAGCGTTATAGAGCTACTTTATTGATGAAGGCAAAATAAAAATTCCATTTAATTTCGGGTTTGTTCGATTTTGACGAATTGCTAGTCTAATTTGAGTGGAAACGGGCCAACGATCACAACTCAGGGCCTTTGGCCATGATGCACGTCAAATTTTGGGCAAATTCCATCGTTTAATCCCTCAATTATGCGTTTTTGCCATTTATGATAATTTTTGTTTTGATAATATTTTAGTCAAATAAATTCGGATTTGATTTCAGTTTGTTGGGGGATGATCCTGATGATTAGGAGAATCAAGATCCGTAATTATCTCAATTTTTTTCATTTTTGAAAAAAATAATATNATCTCAATTTTTTTTATTTTTGAAAAAAAAATATTTTTTATTATTAGGTAATTTCTTTCCGAATTTTTTTAGGGTTTCGCTATTTAAACGTTGTAAGCCCTTTGAGGCAGCTCAGTTTTGAATGAAATAAAGTTTTTCTTGAATTTCTCTTGATTGAAATTCTTTTTGTGAAATTTTTGTCTTTTCTATAATCTTCCCCTACATCATTTATAAAATACAGATCTCCAAAAACTAGCTTGAGAAGCAAGTGGATCGATCCGGGAATGTTAATATTAGGAAGCACTTATTAGAATCCCACATTGTTTGGGAAACTATAAATGATCCACTTTATAAGGTGAGGACAATCCTCCCCTAATAAGTCGGTTTTATTAGGTGGAGTTAGGATCAAAATTCTTAACATGATATCAGAGCTAGGCTCAATTATGCAATGTTGGGTGCCACCCAATATCGATTTGTTCACAGTTGTTTGGCATGGTCCACGCTGTGCGTGAGGGGGCGTATTAGAATCCCACATTGCTTGGGAAAATATAAATGATCCACTTAATAAGGTGAGGGCAATCCTCCCCTAATAAGTCGGTTTTATTAGGTGGAGTTAGGATCAAAATTCTTAACATGGTATCAGAGTTAGGCTCAATTATGCAATGTTGGGTGCCACCCAATATCGATTTGTTCACAGTTGTTTGGCATGGTCCACGCTGTACGTGAGGGGGCGTATTAGAATCCCACATTATTTGGGAAAATATAAATGATCCACTTTATAAGGTGAAGGCAATCCTCCCCTAATAAGCCGGTTTTATTAGGTTGAGTTAAACTCAATATTCTTAACAGCACTTATTAGACTTCGAGTATTTCGTAAATGAAGGATTCATGGGTTGATTAGTGTTTCCTTCCAATACCGCTATTACATCAACAACCAGATTTCTTGTCTTTTATTGTTACTCTTTCCATTATTTCAGAATATCAGAAGTATTCTTAATTTCCTTTTGTATTTTCCTAACAAGGGTCGCCCAGATCAATTGTGGAACTTTCAAATCGAGAGTATGGTAGACTATGTGAAATGTGTTGGGATGAGAAAAATTGGTAACATTAGCCCGCTTGTTCTAGTTCATGTGTGGTTGTTAGTTTAGAACGTCAAACCCGACATCAATAACTTCAATTTCTTCATTCCATCAATGTCATTAATTTGTGCTGTGGACACTAATAAATGCCTGTCGTATGAAGAATAAAGTAGATGGTATGTAGTGAATTATCAAGTTCATAATATCTACCAGATTGTGTGAACTACAATTTTCTGCCGCTGATGTTATTTTCTACTGTTAAAGAACCGTTGGTATGTTGATAAAATCTCTGAAGGCAATAAAGTTAATAAAGAATATGTGTGGAGATAAATCTTCTAAATCCTTTTATGAAAGCACTCCCTATCGATGTAAATGTCAACATCTTGGCCATTCTGAACAACCAGTCTGAGAAAGATGGTTTGATCCATTAGCTAATATATGGCTTCCATGGGAAAAGTCTCCTAAAAAACAAAAAAAAGGCAAGAAGATGGTGGAGGAGAGACTCTACGTGGTGTCTCATGGTGCAAGGACGTCTAACGGTGTATCTAATATTGTATAGGATTTCACCTTGTGTTAGACTCTTATTTGTATTATATTTTCCTAGTTTGTTTGTCTTTTCATCTCATGGTTCACAAGTGGACTCAAGGACAAGGCAATTTTTCATGACCCTTTTGGATACATTTGTTGAGGTTAAAAAGTGTAAGAATCAATTTAAGTCAATTTTTTAAGCAAATAAAGAGAAAATAAGGATCTTTATTAATAATCACTTTTAAATTACAAGAGTTTCATCAAATGAGATATTTGAAATATGAAAATGTTCTCCCTCATCTTCTAAAGATACCATACTTTTATAGGAAAAGAAGACCCAGTATCTTTCACATTCCTATCTTGTCACTCAACAGTACCGAGCTATGACTCTATGCCAACGACTTTTAACCCTGATCGGTTGTTTGTCAAGTCAACAAACAGTGTTGAACTGAGAAAATACACTAATGATATATCTCCATTGGTTATTGAGGTTAGCTTCATCAGGCAATCATAAGGCTGACCTTAAAGAGTCATTTATGATTTAAGTTAGACTCAATATCTTTTACATTCATGTCTTGTCACTCAACAGTACCAAGTTGAGNACAACATACGATTGGTGGGTTTGGTAGGCTCTGGCATAACCCTTTTTGAATGTCATTAATTAATTGAAGATTATGCCAGTGTATAAAGATTCTACAATCATTATGTTTCATCAAACCTCGGCAATCGTTCTTTCGAGCTGACCTTACAGGTCTGACCTCAATGGATCGTGATCCAAGTGCATATAATAATCCGACTTAATTAAATTGTCGGTCGGATGTTAACAACATTCATGAAAATTATGGTCAAACTATAGACTTTCCGAATTTAGGCTTCAGTATAAATTCACAAGATCTCCTTTCAGCAACGAATCCAAAGTTATCACGAGTTTAAGAAATATTACATTTGGTATATGATGACGAGACGTATGACTAGAACGCATAAAGTGTAGTTTTTAAATTTTTTTTAACTGTACTCTCCATCTTTTGACCGCGTAAGTTTTCCTTTTATAAAACTATTGTATTTTTTTTCTTTTCGAAAAATTTGCATTTTTCGTCCCCAGGCATTGCAAAAATAATAATAATAATCTAACATCAACCTTTTTTTAGCATAATCTATCCACAAACTTTCAATTATATAGCAAAACCAGTCCTTACATCCAGTTAGGCCATTAAATAGCGAATTTGCCATTCTCTTTAAGAAAAACAAAAAACAAAATAAAAAAATAAAATTACAAATGACTTTTCAAAAAGTGAAAATAAATCACATTTAAAACCATTAAAAATATTAACATATAAAGAAAGAAGAATTTAAAAAGTTCTTATCTTTCCCTACAAAGTTCACCTACCCAATCCTAATCGACAATGCAATCACGTCGATGACGACATCAACATGACCACCATAGAAAAATTAATTCACAGAAAAGAACAAATTAATAATAAACAACTTGATAAAAAATAGCAGCCTCAGAACCACCACCACCACTAGATGACTTTTAATAAACATCGAATCTTGCTCGTAGATGACTAATTCAATGGCTAGAGAAATTTTGTTTGTCTCATTACATGGCTCCAATAAAAGCTTTAAAAAAAGTACAATAATGTTGTCAAAGAATTAATTCAAACAGGAATTGTCTACGTAAGAATACAATGTGAAACACCTTGTAGTAGTTTAACGTATATATTTGAAGACAATACTTGCACGGCATTGGTTGTCATCTATCAACGTGATAAATGGTCTCATGAAAACAAGGAACATGTCCATCGTAGTATAACATAAGTGGAATGCTCCGCAAGTAGCACGAAGTTTGGATCTTGTTTCTCTTAGGACACCAAATATTAATGGCATTTTACAAGAAGTTTTGCTAGATGAATAGGGCCTATTCGGTTGAGCAGTGGGACGCCCATCAGCTTGTTCATTTAGAAATTATCAAAAGAAAAAATCATCTTATTTGTCAGAGACGTAAAAAGCATGAAGCTCAAGTTTTATAAAAAAGAAAAAAGCATGAAGTTTTGTATGGGTCCAATCCAAATGGCTCATTCACCTCCATTGATTTTAACTTAGATTTAATTAGATATTTTAGCTGAACTAAACAAGGGCTAAATATGACAACTTGGTAGATTCCAAATTGCGACCCCTAGTTTCATATAGCACAATTACGCTTTTAACCCTAATCGATTGAGAATTTTATAACTACTACGTCACAACTAACTTATCATGTGGGCTCAATTAATACACGATAATAGACTCGTATTGAATTCGCGCGATTCCAATTCCTAGCCCTAAATTATACAAACTTTTCGTTGTAATTTTCGAAAAGTATTTATCACTCCATCTCATTTTTATCAATTTCCATTCCTCGTTTTTCCTCAAGAAATTTATTTTTAATCTTTTAGTGGTGTTTTTTTTTTTTTTTTGGTTTAGCTTTCTTTTGGCTAAATATATTTGCTAATATTTCTGAATAATCATTACTTTCTCTTTTCACATTTCACAACAATGATTGCTTCGGTGTTCATTACCTTGCAAGTGGGAAACAAGTATTATTATTCAATAACTAGTAGTAAATTATTATTGGAAGTAATAAAGAAATAAGGGTATATTAGTAAACGAACAAAACAAAACATTCTTAATAAAGAAACAAAACTATATAATTGAAACAAGAAAATAAGAAAAGTGAGCCTATATAAATAGGATTGGGGGAGTAAAGTAGATGCAAGTCTTTTAACAAGAGAAGAAGCAACTTATGATAATAATACTGTAATCCTTGAACTTGTGTTACATTATTGACTCAGATCCACACATCAACAAAACTTATTTTGTTTACAAGTACTTTGGATTGCCAAAATCCATCCACTAATTTTTCATATTATTATTTTTATATATATTTTCTTCATTCTGGCATTTATTCTGTGTTAGAGCAGTTTTGGCAACTCAAATTAGAGGAAGAGGCTCTATTAAACTAGACATGACTTGATCTCGTGTCTGCATCTTGAACACTGACTCCGTCTCCGTTCTGGTAAATGAAATTTGCGATTCGCGCCATATTTATAATGTACTGAACATGTGTTTACATCAAATTAGGAGAACCATTTATGGATAGGCCATTGATTTTCTTCCATAAATTGGTAGTGATGTTTCTGATATGGTCTCTAGCTTCCTCTTCTGTAACATTTGCTTCTCACATGTAACATAGGATTGATGAAGGTGCATCACCTCTCTCCAGTTCGGACTATTAAAAAAATTCAAAACACCACCCGTTTCAATTTATCAAAAAAAAAAAGTAATCGTATTTTCAACAACAAAATTACTTATCCGGTCAAGTTGATAGAATGATTACAGCTGAAGTTGCTTGATCGTTGCAGAGACGTATTATCAAAGAGCAGTAGTAGATAATTTTCTGATTTTTCTCGAGAATTTCAATGGTTTCGTTTATATCTTGACCTACACCAGACAGTACAACAAGAGAAGGCAGGGGACCAGATGATGACATCCAACCATTATCAAGATACTCCCACAGACGTGGGGTATAATCTGTGTTCGAAGAGTTATGCATATCAAGAAATTCTCTGTAAAAAATAATTATTGATTTTAACTTAAATTTTAATCAATTTTTTTTTTTTTTTTTGCTGAACTAAACTGGGCTTAAAGTAACCAATCAGAACGTTTGGAAGTCCCCTTGAAGCAGTCACTATTCACAATTTTACATGCATGAAAATAGTTCTCTTCCTTGACGATTAGCTTTCTACTTGATGCAAAACTAATTAAAACAAAATAGAATTATTATTGAAACTTCCTATTAGACCGGTGATCAATAACTTCAATTTCTTCATTCCGTCAATGTCATTAATTTGTTTTGTGGACACTAATAAATGCCTGTCATATGAAGAATAAAGTAGATGTTATTATCAAGTTCATAATATCCACCAGATTGTGTGAACCATAATTTTCTGCCGGTGATGTTCTTTTCTACTGTCTCTAACGAAGTTTGATTTTTTGTGGTGTGTCGCTATGGGTGTATGGTACCCTCGTGAAAAATGATCTGATGTTCTTTTCTTGGATTCGTTCAGTGACACAGACCATTTCATTTTATCTAACCAACTTTATCATCCAACGAGTGGCCAATAATCTAGCAAGAAGAAGAGATTGAGGTTCCTCTTATGTATGGTTTTGAAAATTTCACTTCGTTTGGGACAGGGAAAATATCGCTGACGCTGCAATAATATTAATTTGGCTTACTTCTCTATAGAAATTGGTGTGGATAGAATTCCAAGCTAAAGACGGTACAGATGGGTTTTTGGCCAGAAACCCTTTATGAAAGAATGATGCTCCCTGTACACGGTTAGGTGACAAGGTGTTTGACCGGTGTTATGTTGGCAGCACCTATGTTGCACCTTTTTTTTCAAATTGTGCAATGAAATTTTGACACGTGTCTCCTCATTTTTAACCCCCATCACTCACCATTTTCGTGTAGCAAAACTGTTTATGAAAACACTCACTATTGATGTAAATGTCAACATCTTGGCCATTCTAAACAACCAGTCTGAGAAAGATAGTTTGATACGTAGTGATTATATCGCTTCCAAGGAAAAAGTCTCCAAAAAAAAAACAAAAATGGGAAGAAGTTGGTGGAGGAGAGGCTGAACGTAGAGGTGTCAATCCGGGTAGTCTGGGCCGGGTCGGCCCATCAACATATGAGTCCGGTAACGGCCCGCATGAAAAAAAAAAGCCCACCCGCTACGGGTTCCGGGCTGATTCCGGGTCGGCCCACAAATTTTGGACTACAATCCAGGCCCGCCCGTTGACCTATTCGGGTCGAGCTCATGCGGGTCACGAGTCGCGGTTTGTCTCGATTTGATCCGTATTATTGTATAAATAAATTTATAAAAATATAGAATTTTTCATATTTATAGCAAAAAATATTTTTTTTGTTAAATGTAAATTAAGAATTGAACAAAATGATAAATTCATATTTATACAAAAAAATGTTTACATAAAATTCAAATTTAATATTACATGAATTATTTATAACTTTACAAAGTTAAATAACAATTAAATGCATTTCTAATTACTATTATCAAATTTTTGTAGTATAAGTACATCCCAACTAGGTTGACACCTAGTTTTATTATAATTTATAATTTATGTACATCCCAACTAGGTTGACATCTACTTAAGTCTTAACTATAATTTAATTGTTCAAAAATTATATATTTTAATATTTATATATATCCCAATTTCAATTATTTATTTTTATATATTTGTTCAAAAATTATATATTTCAAATTAAAAAAAAAATTTCACGAGCCAGCGAGTTAACCGCGGTCCGTGAAGTGCAACCCGCGAAACCCGCGGGTCACACACCTCCTTAATCCGTGAATCGCCCGCTTGGGTCACGACTCGGCCCGAGGTTCTGGGTCGATCAGGGCCGATTTTCNTTTTTTTAAAAAAATTTTCACGGGCCAGCAGGTTAATCCCGACCCGTGAAGGTGCAACCCGCGAAGCCCGCGGGTCACACCTCCTTGACCCGTGAACCGTCCGCTCGGGTCACGGGTCGGCCCGCGATTCCGGGTCGATCCGGGTCGGTTTTCACGGGTCTGGCCGGCCCGTCCGTCTTGACACCTCTAGCTAAACGTGGTGTCACGTGGTGCAAGGATGTCCAATGGTGGTACATAACAAGGTAGAATCGGAAACAAAACAAAATTGAAGGGTAAATGGGCAGTGAAGAAATTATCGATCCAAATTTAGTGGTTCAAGGGTGGACTCAAGGGCAAGGCAATTTTTCATGATCCTTCTGGATACATTCTTGAAAATTATGATTCCGAATTTAGGATTCAGTATAAATTCACAAGATCTCC